AAGATATCATTTCACTCCCACTAGGATGGTTAAGATAAAAACAAAACTCAGAAAATAACAAATGTTGGTGAGGATGTAGGGAAATTGAACTCTTATCCATTGTTGGTGGCAATGCAAAATGGTACAGCCATTGTGGAAAATAGTGTGGTGTTATCAAAAGACTAATAAAACTACCATATGACTCAGCAATTCCACTTCTAGGTATATAACCAAAAGACTTGAAAGCAGAGACTCAAATAGAGGCCTGTACACCAGTGTTCACTGCTGCACTGTTCACAATAGCAAAATGTGTAAACAGACTAAATGCCCATCAACAGATGAATAGTTAAAACAACATGTGGTATGTACATACAATGGAATACTATGCAGCCAGGAGGAGAAACAAAGTTTCATACATGTTACAGTATGGATGGAGCTTGAAGACATTATGCCGAGCAAAATAAGCCAATCACAGAAGGACAGATATTGTATGACCTCACTTATATAAAAAGACAAGAAAAGGGAAATATGTAGAGAACAAAGTTTATTAGTGGTTACCAGGGACCGGAGGCCAGGGGACAAGGTGGGTTAATGGTGATAAAAAAATCCCACTGATTAAGGGTAGAGTTGCACAGCCAATTATTGTAATTGCTGTCAATAATTTGTACACCTGTAAAAAGTTGAAAAAAAAAGTAGTTGTTTTGCCAAGTAAGAATACTTTAAAACAAAACACACAAAACAACCCATCATTCATTGTCACCTGTGTTTGAAGAAAGAGTGGACATTTCACCACGAAAACAAAGAAAATCACAGCCTCCCAAATAGTTTATACATTATTCATTATGAAAATTTCACCATGCTATATGAATTTCTCTCATTGTTTCACTGACAAGTGCAAACTTTATCACAGTCTTGCACTTGGGAACCACTGTAATACACTCAAACAGTTGCTGACACGTAGAATCCGACTCGTGGCTGCCCCATGTGTGTCAGAGCAGAACCGTGTTCCCTACGGTTTTCAATGACTAGTTTTTCCGAAAGTAGATTGCGAGGCCTTTCTTTTAAGGTGTGTCTGAGTGTACTCAAATCTCCAGTCTTTCCGTAAGCAGCATTAACTCTTTGTACCACCCAAGGGCTCCATGTAATACACTAGTGATTCTCAATGGGGTGTGAAGGTGGGTTGGAATTTATGAGGGTTCTGTCTAGTTAGAAACCACATACTGAATTTACCTATTACCTTAGTAATGTAAACTCCAGTAAAGAAAGCTTAACACAATCATTTAGGCTCGTGAAAATATAGAAGAAATTGAGAAAGCTTTGCAAAGTGTGTGTGAATTGTGAAAGGTAATAAACACTGTCTTGTGCTAAAACTAGTCACACTATGCGACTTAATATAGAAGTGTAGGGTTTTAAAAGAACTTGGCAACATTGTAATCCCAATATCTGATTTTACAAAGAAGCTGAGAACAGTATTTAGATCATTCCTATTTAAAAATGAATGGGAATAGAATTAAATTATTTAAAATCACCAAAATAGTCCAGAGTTCAATAGGGATGTGATTATCAAATTGTTGAATTAAATTTGTAGTTATATAGCATATAAAGTGATAAGTATAGCACATATGGAGTATATGAAACTTAATATCCCAAGATGGGGTTACCAGTTACCAGTTGCCATAAAGTTAATTCCGACTCATGGCGACTCCATGGTGTGTCAGAGTAGAACTGTGACCTACAGGGTTTTTAATGGCTCATTCTTTGGATGTAGATCACCAGACCTTTCTTCCAAGGCACCTCTGGGTGGATTCGAACCACAAATATTCTGGTTAGCAGCCAAACACATTAACCATTTGCACCACCCAGGGACTGACTGATACTCATGGGTACAGACTGATAATATACCTAGGCTTTAAAAGAGTAGATTCACTTGTAAGAGGTAATGATTATGTTATTGAATTTGGAATCCAAGTAAGTTTCAGATCATCCCTTACTATTTACATTTGCTATTAAAGATAGTAGGCATACCTTCCTTTAAGGTGTGTAGTTAAAGAAGGGGCACTGAGCTGGAAGGACTAGAGTGTAATGATTTGGGGAAGAAAGAAAATGGAGTTGAGTTTGAAGTTACCATTATCTGGGTAGCCCATAGCTTTATAGTATACAAGGGTCTTATTTCCCCCATGTTAAATCTCCTTAACATTTCTTTTTTCCTCTCTGGCTTTTTCCAGGCACAATCACATTCCCCTTTCTCTTAAGAAATGTGTTAGCATGTATTTAATGGTAATCCATTCAATCAACAAAAGGATCCACTGGAAATCTTTCCGGAATGTCAGAGGATAGTATACATCATATAGAATATTTTCCTGTAATGTGTTGATGGTTTCATTCTTTAGTGTCATTTCCCTTATTTTTTAAAAAAGTGCACTATAATTTTTCTTAAAGGTTTTTTTTTTTTTTTTTTTTTTTAATTTTGACAGAACCACAGGCTGAATCTGTTTCCACAGTGTATTGGACACTCAAAGAATTATGGTAACTTATTTCATTAGGGGTTTAATTTATAGCAGCCATGACAACAGCCCCGTTTATTGATGGCTTCAATGCTCCATGCACCATGATAAATGCTTTATGTACATTATGTCTTTTAATCCTGATAATAGTGATACCAGTACCAGTTGCTGTTGAGTTGATTGTGACTCATGGTGATCCCATGTGTGTCAGAGTAGAACTGTGCTCTATAGGGTATAGTTTTCAACAGCTATGACCTTTAGGAAGTAGATTGCCAAGACTTTCTTCCGAGGTGCCTCTGGGTGGATTCAAACCACCAACCTCCAATTAATACACAAGTACTTAACCATTTGGGCCGCCCAGGGATGATAATAATAATAGGGGGATGTTAAAGATGTATCCAAAATCTCACTGAGTTTACTTGTGAGGCAAACCATTGCTAGCCAGAGCACATGCTGCTTAATACTAATGTCACATTATATTCCTAAACATTTAGTATGAAGTTATCTATGTAAATGAAAATATAAATAACATCACATCTTAAATAATACATACTTTTAATCCTGAAACAATGATAAACTAAAGAGCACCCTATAAACATACTTACTGTAAGGAATGACTTAGCTTTAGGACTTATGCACAACATGACTGTGTATCTAATTCACTAAATCTGTGAAAACAAAAATTCATAGGATATTTAACTATCAATCTCCACTTATTGGGAGGCGAACATAATTCTTGTCTCTTGCCAAGTTGAGACAACCATTAAAACCATATGTCAGCACTGGTATCTCTGAACAATACAGATGTGTTTTTGACAGGCAGTCGTTCACATGAGTGTGCCAAACAGAGCTTGCTTTTGCTTATTTGTTTTACTCCATAAAACTGTAGCCAAGTCTTAAGGCATTGGGGAGAATAAGGCTCATTAATTGTACTATGTGCTTGACGCAGTATTCAGGCAGTGAACGTTTCTGAACTAAGGGAAGCAACTGTCCATCTGTTGCTGATGACGTTGGGTATGTTAAACTGCTCTAAAACTCTTTAGAAATGAAAAGGACAAAATCCAATTGCTGGAGGATAGTTCAAATATTTTCAATAAAATTAAGATGCTATACCATGTGAAGAAGGCAAAACTAGTGTGGTGGTTTCTCACACATAGTTCAGCAGGACATCAAACCTAATTGGTTGGGAGCTAGAGCTGGCTGACAGCAGGGACAAACCCCTCAAGGCTGTTTGTGAAGAAAATGAATGGCTACAGAGAATCGCATCGGTCCAGTCATTAACCTATATTCTCCATACTGCTTCCTCCAGATCATGCAATCCCCAAAATTGGTACCACTGACTTAAGGTAGGTTCACCCTAGAGAAGAGTCAACCCACAAAAATCTTTCTAAATTCTGGACAATGCAGGACTATTTTATAGCTACAGAGAAAATTGGTAGCACATATTTTGACCAAAATTAGAAAATTTGGCCAGAGAATTCTGTTCCCAGATTTCTTTATTGTATAAAAATAAGGCCACATACATTACGATCAGTTTGTCATAATTACCCGAGATTTGTTCACACAACTTTTTCCTTAAGAGAATATTGGTTAGGTTAAAAAAATTGTAACTTTGCTGAGAGCAATTTCTTATTGCATACCAGAGATGTAAGGACATTATTTTTGGTGGGTGCTCATTTCCCTTATTTTCTATTTCTTTACCATAAAACCTTTTTTTTTTTTTTTTTTTTTTTTTTACTGTACCTTCTAGAAAAGTGAGCTAAGAAGAACATCATGTATATTGATATTGAGTACAAATATTTCCTGTCCCAACTTGATTCAGAGCTATGAAAAACACACCATACTTTGAGATAGCTTACATGTTTAAAGAATACAAAATATAAATAAATAACTTTATTTTATTACCAAGTATGGTCAAAACTTTTAATATTGAAGTAAATTTCTTGGAACATGTAAAAACACACATCTTAGCTATGGTAACTGTGGATCTATGTCATATTTATCATCATCAAGGGGAGTTTTTTATAGTCGGAACCAACTCAATGGCACCTAACAGTAACAACATATAAGTCACTTATAAGTCACTTGGAGCCCTGGTGGTCTGGTAGTTAAAGAGCTTGGCTGCTAACCAGAAGGTCGGCAGTTCAAATGCACCAGCTGCTCCTTGGAAACTCTATGGGGTAGTTCTACTCTGTACTATAGGGTCACTATGAGTCAGAATTGACTCAATGGCAATGGGTTAATAAAAGTCAGTTAAAAGACACAGTAATTAAAACTCCACAAGTAATTTGGCACCTTTTGAACATATGTAATCACGTGTGAACGTTAAAATTCAAAAGTGTTTAAAATTGTTTTATTGATGTACCATAGATATTTACAACATCTTAATAATATACATTTTATTTCTTTCCAAACAAGTCTGTATTAAGAATGTGTCTTAAGACTGGGGTCTAGAGATCTTATTTACAGAGAATGGTTTGTTTTCAAAAATCCCTCAAAGACTTACAGTTTTATTCATCATATAAGTGACTGGATAGCAAAACAGTAAAAAGTCACAAGGACAATTGACAGAAAATGGATGCTAGGTTCTAAGACTTGAATTCCTCTGGAACTTAAACCTGCAAAAAATAAAAACAAAAGCATCTTTAGACAGAGTTAAATTACTTGGTGGATTAATTCTTTAAGACCCTATTTTCACACTATCATTTCTAACATTTTATTACACTTTTTTATTCACAGTATATTCAAGTTTAGGAAGTGCTTTTACCTTCTGTTCTAGGATGATTGTTTTACATGTAAAAATGTAAAAGAAAAATTCCTACACTTGCCAAATCTTCCTAAAAGAGTGAAGTAGAGCTTGACCATCTTTGGGCAGCAAATGACTTTCACTTAGCTGCAGCTTCAGGCGTGAGTGATTCAGGAGCTAGAGATTCATCTACAGCAGAAATAGTACATTATTATCATGTGCTAACTCTGAATGATGATGTTGGCTGCTTAGAACATTGCATTGAGAAGGATTCAGAAGTCTGGCTCATCAGTATGAATGCCATGATTGATTTGTAATGTCTGCCGTGAGTACAGGAATGGTGGTATATCTACATGTACTCCACGTTTGTTATTCCTGCTCTAACAGGTATGAAGTTACCAATGAGGAAGCTTTTTGTGCAGTAGAAAGAATCATGAAATTATGTATCACTGACTCATAGTTGCTTTTTTTTTAAAATTCAAATGAGGAAACATAAAACTGTTAGTAATACTGTATATAAATAAGCATGTTGCAAACTCGAGGGACTGTTATCAAGAAAAATTAGAACATTACCTCTTGCAATTGAAAATGGAAACACAGATCTTTTAATTTTTTTTTATCCAACATTTAAACAAGGGATTGGAAAGTTTCATAGCACCCGCATTTCTTGTTGCAGCTGTCTAGAATCAAACTTTACAGTAGCAATGGTGACTCAACTTACTTGACATTTTTGGAATCCTAATTTCCTCACTGCTGCTTCCATCCCCACCATCACTGACTGTTCTTATTTCAATCAAGTAATCTTCTTCAAATGGAACCAGAAGCTCAGCTGATGTATTGTTTGTTTCCAAAATATAAGTTTTACTTTGCCTGTTTTGTCGGTACAGAATCTGAATAAAATGGTGAATCAAATTAACATGGATTTGTTGCTTTTGTAAGGTTCAAAAACTGTTATGGAACACTTAAGGCATGTTATCATAAAGGCTGTACTCCTCAGATGGAAATACCAAGTGATGTCTTTTCATTAAATTCAGCTGTTCTTGTTAAGAGAAAGATTTCATTTTTGGGCAATGCCTCTGAAGTAAGAGTGAGAGGATAGTAAGTCCCTGGGTTATGAACGTGTGACTTATGGACAACTTGTACTTGCCCTTTAATGTTATGGACATTTGCCCTCTTTTTGAAAATGATTGAACCAACCCCTAATTGCAACAAATTCTTCATAACAATCACCTTCACTTGCTTCATTGCAGCTTTTAAATTATTGAAAAGGCTTTGAGCCTTTTCTTGCACTAAAGTAAGGCTAAATAAGAACCATATATACCAAGGCTTTGAACTGGTTCATTCCAGTTTGAACACATGCTGAGAATTTGCATTTCTAGCAAGTTCCCAGCTATGCTAATGCTGCTGGTTGGGGACCAATTCTGAGAACCACTAGTAGAGCAGTGGTTCTCAAAATTTATTATACATAAAAATCACCGGGGGATCTTGTTAAAATGTAGATTCTGATTCAGTATATATAGGGTGGAAATGCAAATTCTCAGCAGGGGTTCCAACTGGAATGAACTGGCTTGAAACCCTGGTATGCACCTGTTCTGACTTACCTGCTTATCTTTACAAATTTAACTTAAAGACACAGTTAGGAATGGATCTTATTTGTAACTTGAGGACTGCCATAGATTTATCTGTATTAACTAAATAGCTTGAGGCTATTATCTTCAGAGCTTACTGTAAAAAGTCACTGTTTAGTTTGGACCCATTTAAAATGCCTGAATATATGGCTTTGCCAAGAGATGATGTCCATTAACACTGATGGAAATGATTTGCTCTGGGTACTTGACTATACTCTTGTTAGATTCGTTTTATGTTCTTTAAAGATCACATCATACTGCAGCCTAAGTTCTAGAAATTCTATTCAAATACATTCCCTAACCGTACTCTCATCTAACATCTACTACTCACATACGACATCACTTTTTGATGGCAAAGAGAGTCACTTGAAGAAATATAATTGCATCTTGTAAAGTTTTAGTTTTTGATGCTCCATGACACATTACTGGGCCTAAGAATATAAAAAGTTTTTTCAACTAAGAATTTGTAACTGACAATGCTAAATATTTTTGAAACTACATTTTGAAAAGACTCCTATGTTTCCATGTACATAAAATTTGTCTTCTATTACATTGTGACACTTCCTGTTCCTTCCAACATAACTGATACGATTATAGGGAAAACTAAATACTCACCTTGTAGCCCAACACTTCAGACTCATTTTCCATGGTTTTTACATGCTCCCAGTTCAAGCATAATTTAGAGTTTGTCAGTTTCCAGGCAATATTTGCTGGTGGTTGACTTGGAGCTTTAAAAAGATAATCATAAGATCTGAATGAATATTAATTAGTTCATGGTTACAGTCTTAGTTATCTAGTGCTGCTATAACAGAAATACCACAAGTGGATGGCTTTAACAAACGTGAATTTATTATCTCACAGTCTATGAGGATAAATGTCTGAATTCAGAGTGCTGGCTCTAGGGGAAGTCTTTCTGTCTGTGTTCACTCTGGAGAAAGGTCTTTGTTTCTTCTGAGCTTCTGCTCCTGGGTAATCTTCATGTGGCTTGGCATCTCTCTTCCCCCATCTCTGCTTTTTGCTTGTCCTAATCTCGTTTATATCTGAAGAGATTGGCTCAAAATACACCCTACACTAATCCTGTCTCATTAGCATAACAAAGACAACCCATTCCCAAATGAGATTTTAAGCACAGGCCCAGAGGTTCAGAGTTACAACATATATTTTAGGGGGACATAATTCAGTTCATAACAGTTACTATATGTACCATCAACATGAGAAGAAAAAATAAATCGTGGATGATTAGAAGGAGTTATATATTTTCAGTGGCATTTGAAATTATATTCTCATCAAGATAAGCAAATTCGTTCAAATTCTGGTTATTTGGGGATGTCTTCATGACAAACTTATATGGCTTCTGGCATGTCCAGTATTAATTTAGTAGTCATTGCTGTTGAGTAATTTGTAGATAGATGGAGGGCCCCTTCCATTTGGCTATCGATCAATGAGCATGTGAAGCAAATTCTGGCTGAAAATCTTTTATATCAGCATGGATGTGTTTATTCCTAATAGTCTTTTGCTTTTTAACCTTGCGTTTGTTAGATCTCTTTAGCTGTAAGTGACACAATCAGGTTAAGATATTTTAAGGAAAATATTGGTAATAGATTGTTAAGGCTGTAAGGGAGTTTCTTAGAACACATGGCAGAATGCATCAGATCCCAAGCAGGGACAAACGAAAAAATGCAAAGGTCCTAGGAGCAGTCTCTGACTCTTTCTCACAGCACTGTTTTATGCACAGTCATATTGAAATATCTCTTTGCCATTCTCAGTATACATAGCAGAAAACATGACTGCCCACCATACCTGAGGTTTTAAACCTTCCCTAGTTCAAAGATTGATATACCAAGCTAGAAATCTCAGGTGAAAGCTAGTGAGTGGCTTAATTTGGCCATGTGTGTATCCTAGCCCAACCAACTGCAGCCAGACAGTGAGAAAGGCAAGAACTATTTAAAATAGATGTAGCTGATGGGAACCAAGAAAAGGGAAAAATCACTACAAACTGGGTACACATCTCAAAAGGTGTCTACTCCAAATTCAAACTGTGGCTTTTAGTTCCCTGAAATTATCGTTGTCTGGGTTGGCAGTGGTGAGAAGTAAGGGAAAAGGGATATAGAATTAGCTTTCTAAAATAATAAATCTAATCCAACTAGAGAATTTTACATACAAGAAAACTGGAGTTGAGGTTGGGAAGCCACTTATCCCTAAGGAGGCACTTAATGATTGGCTGAGACAAATCAGAATCCTGGTCTACCGGTTTCCCATCTAGTGTTTTTCCATGACAACATGCTGTTTCTCAAAGATTTGAGTCCAAATGATTATTTCTGAGATTAAAGAAACTGGAGAGATTAAAAATAATTCAGCCGGAAAGCAAAGGCAAAGATAAAACTGCCCAGCAAGATATTTTTGTCATCTTATTTGAATTTGTAAGGCTGAATGAACATAATATTTAACTCATTATAACACTGAAGGAAATAGAAGTGATTTCTTTCAGAATCCTGACTCAACTACTATTTCATCTCTTCACGAAAAGATTCATCTCCTGCTGCATAAAGAGTGCCTTACATTGCATGAAACATTCCCTTGCCTCCCCAAACATACTGGGATATCACTTTTGTTCACCCAGTCACTTACACCATAGTTGGAACATGGCACCAAAAGCCTGTTGCCATCATTTCTGACTCATAGTGACCCTATAGGACAGAGTAGAACTGCCCCATAGGGTTTCCAAGGCTATAAGGCTTTACAGAAGCAGAGTGCCACATCTTTCTCCCACGGAGTGGCTGGTGGGTTCCAACCACTGATTTTTTTATTAGCAGCCAAGCACTTAACCACTGCACCACCAGGGCTTCTCTTTTACCAAGTATGATGTCATTTTCTACAGAAAGAAAAATAACATCTTCTCCTATCGCTAGAAAGTGGCATCATGGATGGTAAAGCAGAAGGTCTGTGAAAATGAGGGCAACCCTCAATGAGATGAATTACGCAATAGCCAAAATAATGGATTCAAACGTAGTACCAACCACCTGTGCTACCACAGAGCTCAGTTAATATTTTATTATGGATTTATCACACTGAATCATACTTATTCTTGGCCATGTGTTTCTATTCAGCTCTAAATTACCAACCCCTAGCACAGTGCCCTGAGCCCCGGCGACACAGTGCTTAAGAGCTTGGCTGCTAACCAAAAGGGTGGCAGTTGGAATCCACCAGCCACTCCCTGGAAAACCTATTGGGCAGTTCTCCTCCATTCCACAGGATCACTGTTAATTGGAATCGACTCGATGGCAACAGTTTTTTTTGGTTAGCACAGTGCCTGACTACATACACTTACATACTATACACACAAACAATTCATGTTTGTTGAATAAATGTCTTTGCAGATTGGAAAGGCTGAAAAAAGAAAAAAACTGCTCAGAGCCCTGTGTAATTCTGTCAGGTCGTATTGATTACATATTGGGCTGTGGGCTGATCTATGAATGACATAATGTGGTCAATCCATTCATTATGCTGTCTAACAAACCGGGCCAATTGTCATTGCCAAGCCCACACCAATCCATATGGATTTTTAAGATGGACAAGCAAATTGGATTGCTCGTGCCCTAGCACAATTCTTGACAATATAAACCCAATGATAATTAAAGGCCAGAGGGTTTTACACTTAGTAAGCACTCAATGAATGCTTGTCAATAAATTTATTTCTGAAAGACTGGATGGCAACAACAGTGATTTTGTAACTATTCTCCCTCAACTAATCCCAAAGTGCCTTTTCTGACCTTTTTTCTCAACTATAAAAAATATTAACATTCTCACAAGATGTCAAAATTCTAGTATCTCATATGCTGTTTTGACAGATTTCTTTTATGTCTGTGTTCTTTAAAACTAAGCATTCAACATCAGACAATCAATACAGGGCAAACATAAATTCACTCCTTTGCTGTCATTGACAGTGATGAATTCTGAAATTTTCTTCTATTGCTGTATTGGCTTTGTTTGTTTCCTTTTTTATTAATTTTAATGAAAAGGTACTGTTTTCAACCCTGTGAATCCATAGATTAAGCAATGGGAGACAAAAGAACAGACTTCTGCCAACTACAGTGACAAGTTTGTGAACTTGATTATAACACTTACTGTTTGTATTTGTTTTCTTATCTACCAAAGTAGAAGTAAAATATTGTATGGACATAAAATGAGAATAGTTCTCTGAGGAGTGAAAATCCCAATACTTTGGAAGGATAAGCAAATTGTGTGGATTACTTAGAATGCTTTACTGCTCAAGCTTGGACTTTTTATCCAAAGAGACTTGAATCTGTATCTAGTCTATTCCAGGAGCCCCTGATTTCCCATCTTTGAAATGAGAGAAATGGCACCTGCTTTTTAAGATTTTAGCTTACATGAAATACAATCGGAAACATTCCTCGTTTAGTTAGTGGTACGGTTAAAAGCTCGATAACTGTTCGTTCTCTGTTTGCTGAGAGTAGCAGTTCTCTAGTCTTGCTGTTACGACAATCAGTTTTTCAATTGTGTTGGAAATGGTTTGTTACTAAGAATACAATTCTGAAGTTTGCAAATGATTCCCTTCTTAAATATAATTTGTGTATATTCAAGATTATCCCTGAATAATATCATCCTTTCTTGTGTTCTTTATTGTGTTTTTGAAAAGGAGATAAAGAGGTGTCAGCTAATTATCTGGGAAGTTCTCGTAGTCTATATAGCCTTTCTTATATGTATATATTTTGTGTCTCCAATGTGAATGACTTATGTCTGGCATAAAAATATATATATATATATATATGTGTATATATACACACACACACATACACACGTGTGTATATATGTGTATATATACACACATATACATACACATATACATATATATACATATATATATACATATATATATGTATATATATATGTTTTAGAGACTTAAGAAGGCCCCTACCTTAATCTGTACATTGTTAACAGTTCTGGTTTCATGAGTTCGATGTGGTTAAACTTGATTGCAAATAGATATGATGAAATTGAAATTTCTATTACCTTGAAAAACCAAAACACTGTAACATGGATAATATGAAACACTGCCATGGATGTTTGTACCAAATTGGTCAATGGTAGACTCAACAAACAAGCGCTTTTTTTTTTTTTTTTAAATCCTTCCAGGCAGTTTCCAAAGTCTAAATAATTTTATATTAATCAAATGACAGTGCAACATTAAACTACCCTGCAAGCTCTAATGATTTCCCTGTGATCAATTTTTTTGTAGATGGCATTTATATTCAACTGTAGTTCACACTGTGAAGTCAATTCAAAAACAACTTCTTATGTTGCACTTCTAAGTAACAGCATGGGGTTGACATTTAGGCAAGAGAGAGAGAACATAAGTGCAAGATGAAATAAAATCTTAATGCTTCCTTTATGTCTAAATATGAATTGATTGCATATTTACAGAAAGAAAGAATCTAGTGCAGAGTGCTAGTCAGTCAACATCAGGGGCCAAAGCGAACCAGAATTTGCAAACAGTGTCTGTTACTGGGTCTGACACACTCTGTCTAAATAAGCACTGTTTTGTTTTTGTTTCTTTATTCCTCTTGGGACTGATGTAAATATTTTTCTCCCTTTAGTTGTAAATCCTAATCCCATTTATTTTTTGATGTCTGTGTGCATCACAATATATTTGCAGTATCCCTCAGTTTTCTTTTTCCAATATATCAGTTATATGGCATTACTAAGCCTC